ATTAAAAGTCAAAAATATATCCTTATCCAAAGATTATCTCATTAATGCAGTGTTAATGAACAGACAATTTAACGTAAATAACGTTAATCTCATTCGTCTGCGTGCCCGAAGTTAATTTCGCTTTAACAAAGTAAAGACGCCAGCTAATCCGAAGCCATGAGACTTAAGTATCACTTAATTGCTCGTTCAAGTCCAAGTTCAATCGTGATTTTTGTGTACAGCGGTGTACGTTGACGTCAGCGACGTCTTCCTTTCCATCGTCTGCTGGCTGCCAAACGACCGAAAACCGCAAGCGGCAACAACCAGCCAACAGACACCACTCTTTTGCAAAAGATTTGATCGGCACCTTTTCTTTTTTTATCGCGCAATTAGCACTCGTTTATTTACTAGCCGCAGACAAACAAGCAACGGGAATAGATAGGAAAGGAAATCCTCATCAAGACAAGATTTGATTTATGCGCATATTAAAATTCTTCAGAATCAAATTTCAAGAAAACTCAATTGCATTCGCCATAAATTCTTGCAAATGAAAGGAAATACCGTTGAATTAAAACTGCGCGCGGAATTAGAAAAAATGTAATTTGCAAATAACATGTGTTGCGTACGCGCCACTTGATCAGCAATTTCTCAGACATAATAAATTTAATTTGTTGCTTTCGCATTTATGTGAGATTTGTACCCACGTGTTACAACTTACAACACAAGTATGTATATTCATTGAGTTTGTCAGATTGTAACACAAACATTATCGTTTCATTGATAACGATAACAGTTAAAATGTCGAAAACAAGAGTAATATTTTGATATCAATTTTTCCATGTCAAACACATCAGCACACTTCAAAGCAAACAAAACCGATTTTTAAATACTTTTAAATTCTAATAAGTGAAATCTGTGCAAAAGTCGCGAAAGTTTTGATTCGTAATCAATGTATCAATTTAAAGTCGGTTTCGCGTTCGGTTGCTGGCGGCGATTATCGAAATCTGTATCGCGGTGGTGTGCGACCGAAAATTCGGCGCTAGATCCGCGTCGCGCCGTCTTTATGTAGGTCACGATTTTGTTAGTTTTAATTTTAACTGGATTATGAACGCCGATATACACAACTTTTGCTGTATCACACTTACAATGGGCACAATGGCTTCGAACAAAAAAATAATGAAAACTGTAAACTCGGAGGTTGAAAAACGTACAAATGTTTACATTCCACAGCTTATTGTCAGGATAAAGTTAATTTCGTTGCATTTGTTTGATAAAGCTCACTTTGGGATTACAAATTGCCCACATTCCTGATCAAATGTGTACATTCGTGTATAATTTGTAAATATCTTTTAATCCATTAATCAAATATTATGCAAATTTTGTACACTTGTTTGGGATATGCCTAAATTTACTTACAAATAATATAAAAATATTTATTGATTAAAATTACAACGTGATTTTTTGGATTTACAGGTTTTTGTTGAGTTTGACATGTTTCGCCCAGAAAACTCTTTAGAGTTTATGACGATGCCCTCTGGGCGAAACATGTCAAACTCAACAAAAACCTGTAAATCCAAAAAATCACGTTGTAATTTTAATCAATAAATATTTTTATATTTATAAAAAATAACATGGATTACGTATTCACCAAAGAAAGTAATAAATTTACAAATAATAATATTCATAATTATTCCAGTTATAGTCAGGTAAAAACAATAAAATATTGCAATTATTATTTACAAAAGTAAAAATTGAATAAAAAATAAACCAGAAATCGGAAAAAAACCTACAAAATACCAAAATTTAGTATCTTCTAATTAGATTTCGATTTAAAATATTAATTATTATCAAAGTTTTAACTCTATAATCCTCAAAAAATACCGAATTGCATAAAAACAAAAAGGAACGAGTGATAAATATGTCATACAAAACACTTGATATTGATATTATCTAAATTCCCAGAGTTTTATCTTATATTTCAAGTAAAAATTGGAAATATACCTTCCAGATTCCACAAATTTCCCAAAAAATGCTTGAACTCTGTTGTTTTGTTTCGCCAACAACGGGTCAACGCAAAAGTCACTAACTTATCCAAATGCAACGAATTCAAGCGGCCATGAACTAAAAAAATTATCAAAATGAATACAAAAAATGGTTATTTTTTTATGTAATCGCAATGGCGTAACATAAATTCTAATGCAAACAAATGCAGACACGTTTATAACGACGACTTTGATGTCAATTTAACTAAACTAACCACACAAAAACAAATCACATATGATTCTCAACCGGTACAATATTTTTAAGCTCTTGACAGTTATACTTTCACAGGTACTATGATTTTGGTGATATTTTAGTTTAGACACATGTACCTAATATTGATAGTGAGTTTGGTTGCAAATAACTTATTTTTCTTTGCCCTGATGCACTAAATATTAAATGCGGCATGTGCCATGGCGACTCCATGCCTGCACGACACCTAGCCTCACAGCACCACGTTTTAAGAAGTAAGATTTTAGCGACTTACCGATGGTTTTCGCTGCGTTGAGGGATGGCTATCGGTGGCGGCGTCCACGGCCTATACTCTGGCAACTTGGTGGTGGATGATCCGTGCGAATGTACACCGAAAACGGGAAAATGAACGGAGGGCTGCGCCGCTTTCCACGTGCTCTCAATGTTTTCGAGGCTGGTTGCCGCACAATATGGCCGACGCCGCACCGCACCGAACGCGGTAGCCGGAGTTTGGCGAAGCGATGCGATGCGCGCGCCAAGTGTATCTTCAACCAATCGTGAAGCAGTATTTCAAACGCTGTTTGGTTCGGTTTATTCAAATAATGCTTGTTTTACGTACATACAGCGCCATCTGTAATTGAAAATCTATTTCATTAAATAAATTTCTATATTTTGCACTTTACACTAAGTAAATTTGAATATAACACAAACGGTAACTTTTAAAAATAACTCCATGCTTATAAATTAATTATTTATTAATTTATTTTAATTTCTAACTAAAAACACTTATAAATACATTATACCTTTTACAACTAGAGGGCAGCAGCAGTTCTACGCCTTGAATTTTCTTTAATTATTTGAATTATTCAAATATTTCGATATAAAACCTTTATTTATTTTGTTTGATAGTATTTTGCATACCAATTAATCATTGTAAACAACTTTAAACACGTATTTAATATAAGTTTTAGTTCTTCCAACGTTTTTTTTTGGCGCTGTAATCGTTTGCGGCGGTTGCAGGGGCTGGAGGGCCTTGACCCAGACACAATCCTTGAACTTACCTGCGACCTGCCGCCCCCGACGAGCCATGGCAATGTCATTGCGAACAAATTGCGACGCAAATAAATGCCCTTGCTTTAAAATATCCTCTGAAATAAATTAAAACTCATTTTTGCGTACCCAAAGTAATAATCAAACTTTACATAACCTATTATAACTTTTTTGACAGTTTGACTGTTTAAAATAGATTATACTGATATTCCAAAATGTAAATTGGTCTTTTGGATTATTTTTATAATACTGTTTACATGCTTTTTTCTTTTAAAAACAAGATATTCATATTCATGTTTGAATTTTCGTATTTTGAGTGTTGACTGTTGACGGATTTGCGTTGGTAATCGATGTGTCGACCCACGCGATATTTTGATGGTGGTGGCGGCGGCAACAGCAAGCGGCGACGCCCCAAGGTCAGCGTCCCAGCACGGCGCGTTGCTCTCTAGCGGCGGCAGAGGCGGCGGTGCGGATGATGCCAACGCACTGAGCTATGAACACAATGTTGGCCCGGGGGCGGCAGACACCCCGAACGCTGCAAGCGGAGGCGGCGTTGACGGTGCGATTGACCTCGTTTTTATTACATTCTATTTTCAGGCTCAAATCAACAGTTTACCAAACAAACTAATTTATTTCAATATAGGCAACCAAAACTACACCGAAACCAACATATTCATAGAAAATTAAAACTTACAACCTAAATTTACGTATAAAACCTAATTTATTGCTGTTTTTATTGTTGTTTATGCCTGTTTACAAGCAGGTTTTTTTATTTATTTGGTTGAGGTTGAGTAATGCGCAATATCAGGTCAAAACAAGCTGGTGTTAGTAGCAGTATAGGTGGCAAAGACCCAGAAGAAGTTAAAGACCTTTGGCGGTCGGTCAATGCGCCCGTATTGCAAGCTGCTTGCGAAGCTTGCGAAACGTGATAATGAAAATTATACAAGCATGCCATAATTGCACACAGTACATACACACGGACGGAGAGTATAAAACCTACATCAAGGTATTCCTACTTGCGAAACAGTAAATATGCCGCGTGTAACATCTTCAGAACACAAATATTTTCCACAGGCCACCAAACATACACACTCTGTAAACAAACGTCTAAACTATTATCTGATTTCTAAAACATAACCACACTCGAGAGTTATTAAAAGTACCGCACACGTTGCGTGATAATCATATTAATAATTCACCTGCAAGTTTAATAGCTCCCATGCTGTGTTTATGAAATGTGTAGCAACATTGTTGCACGTTACTTTACTTCACCAAGGATAGTTTAACGCGTTTTTTTACTGAAGAAATCAGTTAAGTTGCGAACATATGTCGAGCGCATCAACACAACATATGCAGCACACACAACACAAACGTGTAATTAAATTCTTCTTGCATCATCTTAAAGATTGAATGCGAGTGAACTATGGATAAAACTGGTTTTGATCAAAACGGTCAAATCTATTGCTGCCATCTTGAATTCATAAAATAATAATAATTTATTACCTATTAAACTTAATGTTTAAAATTTTTAAATATTAAATTGTTCTGTTGATTAAAATAAATGTTTCGCTCTGATAAATTCAAAATTTCGCCATTTTTGACAATTGTGTGAAGTGTAAAGTGTTAAATTGAACAAAACGTTACTTTATTAGTCCTTTTTAGTTAAGTGCTTATAACAATAATGAGATTTTTAGAATATAACATTAATTTAAACAATAAATGAAACAAAGAAACGAAAATTTCAAAAGAAAGTTATATTTACTTAAATGAAAACAAAAGCCATAGAAAATTATTTCATTTTTGACTGTGAAAATAAACGAGAGAAAAAGTGGAGCATAAAATGGCCGCCATTTTGTGTTGGTGGTTTAATTTATGCATGCATTTATTTTCGGTGTGCGGTTTTCAATGGTATGCAACTTGATACTCATATTAGTGGTTTGTTAGTCGTTAGTTTAACATTCGATTCACTTTCGTTTAGCAAAACTTTTTCTTTTTTTTTATGTTTACACTTTCATTTAACGTTTAAATTATAAGTAAAACTAACCTAACTTAATATAAACTAACTTATTTATTACTTTTTATTGTAAAAAATGAATAACTAAATAAAATATCAATTAATTAATGTAAATTTAGTAAAAACTAAATTCAGTGAAGTTCAAGCGTGATTTAAACGTGACTTAAGTCAGTTAATTCTACTCCTGCCAACTTGACTCAAGTAGAGAGTCAACTTGACTCAGCTTGAACTCGTGCCACATGTCGATGTGGTGCAATGAACGAGCATTGAACTAGTTACACTTTACACGCAAGGTTCAAGACGTTAAACTATAATAATACAGAAAAAAACACAAAGTCAATAAAAGTAAACATAATGACATATCCTTAAATACATTGTACTTAATATCAAGATAAAAATGTGTAATTTCAAGTTTTTTAGGTTATATTTGGTATTAATGCTTAGTTTAAGGATATGCTCTTAGTGACTTAATCTATAAACTAACTATTTCATGCGCAGTGTAAAAGTGGAATGCCCTCGACTCGATGCACTCGATGCACTCAATGCACTTGGACTTTATGCACTTTCTGCGCGGCGGCGTGCCGCAGCACATGGCGAACTCTTCTGCTCGTGCCAATGACACGGCGACCGCCGCAGAGAGTCCGTCGCGCATCGACAGTTCAAGTTCAAGGACAAACACACGCAGGCTCAACGTCCTCGCTGCTATTTCAGCCATATTTAAGTCACTTCGCGCTGTTTATCAATCAAAACCACATACGCACCGGTCAAAAACCATAAACACACAAATGTATTCATTTTTCTGCTGAAATTTACTATAGGCAACCAGTTGTGATGTTAATCTATCTATAAATGTCCTTAAAATGGCGTCGAATTGTATCAAAATTTATATCGAAATAAAATTAAAATGTAAAATGTAATTTTGTGGGGTTGTGGAACTGAGTCGTCGAAACCGAAAGCACGAAAGCTCTCGCGCAACGGTGAAAGCATTGCAGCACTCTCCTTCTCTGTTTATCATATACCAGTTTCTATTACCGCCACCCCCCGGGTTTAAAACATAAACGCTGGCACGAGAGCAGTGAACATCGAGCACGAACAGCGCTCGGGGTGAAAGCACTGCAGTCAGCCTGCAGTCTGCAGTCTGGGGGCGGCAGCACCGGCTGGTAGTGTGAGGCCAGACACTCCCACATTCCGCGCCGCACGAATATCCTCTGGTGTGAGGTGGAACTGTCATCGCTGGCTTGTTTCCAGTAAAATAAACTGTTTTACTTCACACAGCTACATAGGCAACCATATACACATTACTTTATTGTGTTTTGTACGCTTGGTTGCGTATGTACAGCAATAATGAAAGCAATAGTTAGAAATGATGTAAGTTGTGTGTCTGCAGGTCGACGTCCCGCGGCGGCAGGACGTTGCCCCCCTCTACTAGCCTGCGAGCTTTGAGCTTTATGCGCTGTGTATGCTTTAGGCTTCTGTCAATGCGACAGTTTGCATGAAACTGCCATCCAACAAACAAATAAACAATCCAGGAAAATGAATAACTTTTTAGGTTCAGTTGCCGCTTTCAGTGGTGGCACTACTGCTCATACTAGTGCTGGCGTTGTTGGTTATGGATGGTTCAACTACCTGCGGGTTAGACTGGTCGAGGTCATCACTCGGAGGCGGCTGCAATGGCAGACGGAGGCGGTAGCTGAAAGTTTAAGTGGTGGAGGCGGCGAGGCGTTGTGTCTAGCCGAGTCGTTTGCAGGTCGTTGTCGTTTCAACACTTTCAGTCTTATAAAAAAAAGCAAACATACAAATAAAAACACTATTATTATTTACATTCGTTAATTTGGTTGCATACTATTTCGTACTATATGAGTATATCACAGACGTAGTTTAAGTTTAATTAAATTTACAATTACGTGAAAAACGAATCATCGGTCAACATAAAATCTTTTAAATAATCCTCTATTAGTTTATTGATAGTCAGCCATATTGCCAGCTTCCATTCGGATTCCATTCTGTCATTTTCGTTAACATAACCTTTATTACCAGCAATTTCTTCGTCGTTTGAAGTTAAAACATAACTTCTAAAAAGTTTTTATTAGTTTTAAGATAAAAACACATAAAAACTTACTTTTCCGGTGGTTGCATCTGAAAATTATCCACGTATACAATATTATTAGACTTTGAAAAGTGCACAAACATGCCGACCGCCATCTTGTCCATTGCACAATGCACAGCACCTTGTTTGCCGTCTGAATTGAACAAAAAACGTCCTGAAAACTTAATTCATAAAATTAATTTTATTATTATCAACTTTAAATTTATTCATAAAAAACTTACCAATATTTGTGGAATTGTAAAATTAACAATAATAACTTTTTCATCTAATTTAAATTCATAATTCCTATCATCACTCTCATGGTCATCAAGACTATCAAGAGTGTTAAAAGTAGTGACACATTGTTTTATGACATCTGACAGCCAGTTGACAACAACGACATCTAGAAACTGAACTGTTTCAGTTGGTTCTTTACCATTTGGAGCACTTAACGTAGGAATAACAATGGAAGACTTTTCTAAGTGTGGAGCCATTTGATCAAGTACTTTTTTGACAGCTATCCAGTTCAAATCAGGTTTTTCTGTGGTTGTAGGTTGAATTTTGAGGTTACCCTCATCCCAAGAACGAAATGTCATATGCACACCATTATGCACATATGACATACAACTATAACCAACAAATAAACATACATAACCTTAAAAATGATTAATTTTATGTTTTTATATTCACCTTTGTGTAATAATGACTAAAATTGTTATATAAATCATTGTGTATGTTGTCGATTAAACACTGGTATCACAAATGACAATAAATTGAATCCTCCGATGTCATAAACGCTAGACTGATACGGATAGTATTGTTTGTTTCGATCGCGTGTGATATTTTGGTTGTCGATTTGAATTACCGGCCGGCGTTTCGAGTGCTCGTCAAATAAATTGCGCCGCAAACGCGCCCGAAGGTGTGATAACCACACTCGCCTCGAAAGTGTCACACAGCAATATGGCGCCCTCACAATCACGTATTATTTATAATCATTTACAATGTTTGCTACTTTAACAACAAAGTCAGACTTAGACATTATAATATTCAGAACAAGTAACAAGTAACAAGTACCGCAAGCAAGTGAGCAAGCAAAAACACGTGTGTAAACAATTTTGTTGTATATTTCAATATGGCGTCTTGCATAATCATTTTTAACGAACTTTTTTTTCACCTACTTACGCAATTTTGCACGGTGTCACCACGACCGTGATTGATAAGATTGAACAATATTTATTTTTTAAATAAGTATTCATACAAGGTGATAAAAATACTGCCATGGAAATAATTTATTACAGGCTAAATTTGCACATATTAAAATTACATTATTACTAAAATCACACATATCTAATAATTCGATGTAGAATCATTGCCTTTTGTCGTATCGCTGTGTTATACTAAAAATATATTTTGACAGGGTTGGCCTTAGAGAACATGCTGACATTGACTTGCATCACGTTTGGCGTTGTTGAAATTCTCTTGAGGTGTATGCACAAGAGCATTGAGTGTTTCAACCACTACATGTTGCATTTCGGCTTCAATGTCTGCTCCCATGGGGGTGGACATAACGTCAGAGTTTACTGTGACAGTGCTGTTGAAGAAAATAACATCATAAGATTGGTTATGTTGTACATGCACACAGAAATCACTTACTTTACGCTATCTGCGCTTGCAGCGAAGGTTTCCCAATTAAGTCCTAGGTTGAACTTGTGTATATCGACGGTAACAGTAATGGGCCACTGAATATTTGTCTGCTTAACCTCAAAATCGCCGGTGTATGTTGTGCCGGACAATGTACACATTATATTACCTTGAATCTTAATACCAAAGATAAATTAGGTTAAAGCAGGTAATGTTAGATTATGTTAGGTTAGGAATTGAATTAACTCACTGTAACTGATGGGAAAGTGTAAGTTCCTTGGAAGGTATGAACGTGATTCTCGAACAGAGTCTTGAAATCACTTTCAGTTTTTTGTCTGAGGCCTCTAATGACTGTATTGGAAAAATCACACCTAGAGTTACTGTCGGTTGCGGATAAACTCAACCATGGTGATACTGTTACTGGTTGTAGATCTCTAGAGGTGTATCTATAAGCGATTTCAGAAACGATTGCTGTTGAAAAATCACTACCAGTTCTCAAATCAACTAGTTGGCCAGAGCTTCAATAAAAAAAAAATTAAAAAAAATGGTAGGTTATAAATAGAATTAAATTGATGTTAGTTTGGTTGGTTGCATACCCAATATGGAGGCAGGCTAATGCCACGACGACGAATGACAGCATTCTTCTGTTTTGTAATTAGACTAACATTGAAGACATGATTCATGAGAATTTATACTTCTTGATAATGAGTGATATATTCGGAAACACAAATATATGCAAAAAATACATTTGAAAGAGTTAGTTAAATGATAATTTATGTAATCTGTGAAGATAGATAATCTTCTTTTTTGGAATTTTTTGCAATTTGCTCTATGTGTTTTACAAATCCTATATATTTTTCAGTTGCCTATATTCTTATCAATTTAAAGGTTATTTTTAAAAAAGTAAGAGAGAAACATGTATTTTGTTTGCCATTTTAAAATTTACATTCTACAACGTGCATAATTATAATTTTAGAATATATATCACAAAATTTATAAGTTTTAATTTGCATTTGAAGATAAAAATAAGTTTAAAGTAAATACACAGGAAATTCACTTGAATATAAGAAAATAAGTTGCTGCAAATAGTTGTTTTATTGAATTATAAACTTTTCTACAATTTCTACTAATAATACACAATCTGTGTTAATGAATATTCCATTTATTTATTTATTTATTTATTTATTTATGCACTTTGCCTCCTGATAGCATTCTCTAACTGGTCGTCAATCACATGTTTAACGTAACCTGTGAAAGCATCAGTAGCGAATACTTCCGGAATATAGTCCATTCCACAATCGCAACGCAGTTGGTCATTGTCGTCCAGCGCTGTCACCGATTGTAGAGTTAGCTCCGACAGCTGAGCCTTCTCATTTTGCGAATCAACTACCATGGACATGGCAATGTTGGCATTCATGTTGTATGACTTGTAGATGCAAGGAACTCGATAGGTTTCGTTATGATCTGCTTTCATTGCCACAACAACCTTAAAAAACAAAAAATTTAAACAACTTAAATAAAATTATGTTATGTTAGTTGCCTACAGTGTAATATCTATATCTAAATTAATAAATATATAACCAATTGTTAAAATTAAAAAAATAAACTTTACTCTGATAGTAGATGTAAAAGTTCCTGTAACTTGCAACTGTTCATCAGTTTCGGTCGTTGCCAACGACAAGCCATTGATGTTCGATAAACCGTTGACGCTACCGATGGGATTTTCTATTTTCTCCATAGCAACCGTGCCTTCAAGATACTCAGTGGACACTGGTAATGGATCAAAACTTTTGATCATATCAACATAGATATTTTTAGCATCTTCAGGCCTGGTTAATAAACATTCACACATAAAATTTTAACAAAAAAAAAAACAAAAAAATTGAATTTAAGAAAATGCTTACTTGGTTGCTGCATTGACACCGCTCAAAGCCACACACACCACCAACCAACAAGTAGCAGAAGTTGAAAACACAGACGCCATTTTAATACGGTTAACATTTTTGCTAACAACGAGATTTTATACCTGTGCAAATGTTTAAAAAGGCATAATAATAATAATAAGTACTTAACCGAAAAAGCTTTTTATCTGGCACTTAAACCTCAAACAATAATTATAAATATTAATAAGACACCTATTAAAATAAAGTGCGTTAAATTATTTTAACAATAAATCTATTTCGTTGGTTTTGTTCAACATGTTTGTGTTGTGTGAGACAGAGGGTAACGTTAAGCTATTCAACGTAGGTCGTTCGCCGGCGGCGCGAATCGAGGGCGAACAACCCCGCGATGAGCATTCTATGGCGGCGGCGAGCAGGAGGCTAAAATGGGTGGCTGGCGAGGATAGCTGCGGGTGTGTGCAGGGCGCGCGCGTCGCCGGAGTGCAGACGGGCCATTCACCCGGACAGTCGGCCAAGGACGCGCCGCCGCCGCCGCCGTCAACACACACACACATAAATAAACCCACCCTAAATTCTGCATTAAAAAATAAATTAATAAAACATATTAAATTTGCTGGAAATGGAAATAATTACAAAGATAATTGTGTTTATGTTTTCTAATGTTTTGATGTTTTTTAAATGTGAATTTTATGTTTTTGAAAACATAACATTTATTCAAAGCTATTTTTAGTATTATAAGGAAATTTTTGATTATTTTGCTGTCAAATGTCAAATTTCAAGCAATTGAAGTATAAATGTATGTTAGTGTAATATAAAGCAGTGAAATTGCTCCCCCGACTGGCTGCAGCTAGACATCGAGGGTATGAGTGCATCGCGTTGCACTAGGGTGTGTCGGGGGTGGACGACGGCAGAGTGCAAGCGATATAGTAGTGGTGGTGGTCTAGTCTAGACACTGGTTCACTGTCCCGAGTATGCGAAAGCGAAACGTGGCGCACGTCGGATTAGTTTCCCTTTTCTCTCGCTTTTCCCACTTTTCCTGCATTTCCACATTTTCCTGCATCTCACTTCCATCTCACTCTCCGCTTGTGTTTTGTTTCTCTTTTAGATTTTTGATGTAGATAGGAATAACACCGAGGGTGCTGTTTCGTCGCGGAGAGCTTGAAAAGGAAGTCGAGAGGGAGAGACGCCGCCAGACGGCTGGAGGAAGGGTGGACGAGTGTACGACTGCACTGCACCCTGCTGCACCCTTGCCTGCGCCACCCCCAAAGCTCAACCGCCCCCAGTACGTCTGTCTGGCTCCGACAAAATCGATAGCATTGCATTTCTACATCGTATTTATGAGTACCACTTGTTTAAAGCTTCCGAAAATATAAAAACTGTAAAAACAAGATAGGCAACCAACATTACAATCGATTCAAGGTGAAGCAAGAATTTATTATGTTATCTTTATTTTGTAATATTTGTCGTTACGTTGCAATACGTTGCATTGTATATATTTGTTTGATTGTACATCATCGTATGCTTGACGTAAATGTTTTGTTTGTATTCTCAACGGGCTTCCGAACGGAATGTTTTCAATTTTTTTTCCAGAAGGAAAGAAAATCAAGGTAATTTCAACGTTTCCTCGCAATTATCTCGTTGGATTTTATTGCTCTTTGCAAAACGCATTCATGTTGACGTGCGACAAGTGTCAACAATTCATTTAAACATGTAATTAGCGTAATGTAATTAAAAGCATTAAAAAACTAAAACAAATGACGTATAAAAATCAAACAATTCTTGTTTCGCGTGGTTTTACTATATAGATTAAGATATAATAACCTAGAATTTTGTTATAGTTTAACATAATCAATGCCTTCTTGTAGGAAAAATTGAAAGTGAAGGTCTGTAAACGCGGTTCAGTGTCATCGTTCGTCTCGACGTAGTTGCGATAAGCGACATCCTCACTGATAACCGTAAAAATGCTCCGCACGGCTGCAAAAACGTTGACACTGAAAAAGCTCCAACGAAATTATACTTGATTACTGACTAAACACTGGTAATCTTGACCTTACATCATCGTAATCACAACGTTATTATTTTTAATTAAGCAATATAACCGCCATTTTGTTTTAAACCTTCTGAAGGTTTATCTGTCGGATAAAAAATGATTTATATCCAGATAATAACGATGATAGCAATCAAGTTGCTATTGTTATCATCACTTATCTACGCGGTTGCAAATAAATAACCTCTAATTTTTATTTTGCGAATTTGAAGGATTTTTTACGTGCGATTTTTCGCGCAATGTCAAAGTTTTTGGCAAATCCCCGCGACGTTTGGCACTTGATCAATGCCAAAGGCTATAAAACGTCACAGTTACTTACTTTCCTTGTTGGTTTACATAATAAACAAGAAGTTTATTAACTAATAACGCAATAACACAAGTGCGGATAAATATTAGGTAAATATGGCGGACGACGTGTATCAACACAGACTTTATCAACAACTAGCTTTTGCCCGCGTTTTCGTCACAGCAGTGTTTAATAAAAATGTAATTCGTTTTTACTCTCTTGTTCTAGACATAGTATGTGTCAATTCTATCAATAAGATTCGTAATTTTATTTAAAAGAAATTAATTATATAAAGAATTGCTAGTAATGCACTTCAACGCGCCATCTCGGATTTAACTATTTAACTATAACTATGATTGAATCTCAATACCAACTTTTTCCTATAGAAAAGGGCTGTCTTTAGAGTTTTCCCGGAAATTATTCCAATTTTTCTCGCCGTATAAACCATCCTTGGACTTTAACGAACATTTAAAAAAAGAATTGGACAAATTGTTCTAGGCGTTGTTGAGTTATGCGCTTACCAACAGATTTTACGATTCATTTTTATATTATAGATTCATACATATTGTTAATATAACAAAAGAATTACAGGCTAACAACTAGTTAACACTATTTCAATTAGAAATTATGTTTTTCTTTAAAAATAAGAAAATTTTACGTTGAATTTTGTTTTCAGTGAAATAAGAGAAACAAAAATCGCGGCGTTTATAAATAATCGGCAGACGATTAATGCTCGTCATTGTCGTTATTATCGAATGTATGTGAATGTGTCACTAGTACCGCACTAACATTGCCAGCTAACAAAACAAAAAAATTAAACAAATTACAATGGAAAATTACATCTACTACACGAAAAGACAATGCTAGAACAATAAATTAGCAATTTTTGTATGTTTTTAACTAAAAAATTATAAATTTGACTCAACAACACAAAACAAAATTTAAATTTTTATCCGAGTTGAATTTTAATTCACAAAAATTCCATGTGATGCCTGTTGAAAGCTTGAACTTCAGTCCTTTACTGAGTTAAGGTCAATGAAACATGTTGATTGACGTCGATGTTGATGACATTACAACAATATTTATACCATTTTTAACGCGCAAACTATTTATAACCTCTATCGATAAAAAATAATAATTTCTACATGATTCAATGAAGTATTAAATTCAATTCTGTAATATTAACCTGTGTTGTCTTCGAGAGTGATTTAAGCCTCTTGTCTGGTGTGTTACATGTTGAAACGCTTGTGGAGTATGTGAAGAGTGAGAGTGGACGAGTTTTCGGTTGAGGGTCAAGGACGTTCCGATTTATTTAACGCCACGCGACGTCCGGCGACGCAACAAAGCGCTCCATCTTTTTTTCACACATGAATCACGCATAACCTCAAACGCACACAAACGCTGCGCACGGCTTAACTTTGGAGTTTTTGATGAATTAAGTTCACTTAAATTCTGTGCGGTGAGGTTGTGAGCTTTCAGGGACAAAGGGACTGGAATGGAGGAGAATTAAAAATTAACAACGAAGAAGAGAGTCAAGCCCAAAGTGAATGGATTGAGACAACGAATTCGTATGTCGTCTTTTGTATGCAGAGTTGGTTTCGAGATTCGTGTCTCGACGATGTGGGCGATCATCGTGGTTGTGGTTGACTCAACTTCAACTTCCACTTTATGTGTTGGTTGGTTTGACTCACTTCTCTATTAAGTCAAGGTTCAATGTTGGATGCGTTTTCACTGCTTTCACTTATCATTTGAATTATTATTTTACTTTTCTTTGAGGTTTTAATTTAAACGTGTTAATAACCTTTTCAATCATCAGGTCGTTGAAATTGTCGACATGTCGAAATGCGTAAATATGTGAACTTTTTGAAGGCCGAGGCCGGCTTGATTTAACTCAAGTGTAACTCAAGCTCGAAACGAAATGACGTTCATTGCCAAAAATTATATTCAGCGGTTCAAGTTTACAACTCAATTGCGTTCGCGCTGCAAAGTTATTGAAACATTCAAACACATCAAATCTTCAGCACTTATGATGACGACTTAGTTAATTACTTTGTGGATTATTTATTTTGTACGCGAAGATTTATTAAAGTATTAGCTCTTGCCCGCGCTTTCGTACCGGTAGTGTTTAATAAAAGTGTAATTCATTTTTACTGTCTTGTTCTAGACATAGTATGTGTCAATTCTATCAATAAGATTCGCTATTTTAATTTAAAGAAATTAATTATTTAAAGAATGGTTAATAATGCACTTCAGCGCGCCATCTCGGATTGAACTATATAACTATAACTATGATTGAATCTCAATGCCAACTTTTATCATATAGAAAAGGGCTGTCTTTAGGATTTTCCCGGCAGTTATTCGATTTTTTCTCGCCACAAAAACCATCCTTGGACTTTAACAAACATTTAAAAACAAGAATTGGACAAATTGGTTTAGGCGTTATTGAGTTATACGCTTACCAACCGATTTTGCGATTCATTTTTATATTATAGATATTTAAAGCATAAAATATTTGACTTTGACATTTGACATTCATAATATACTTCAAGGACAATTATTAGTTTACATTTGACAGTTATTTTTACGTAAAAGAAATAAAAGTGAAAATAAGTAGCAAAGTAGCAATTAAATTGCACGCAATTATCGCGAATCGAATCGTATGAAATCGAATTGGAATCAAGAGTGGCGACGACTTAACAAGGAGTTAACAAGAAACAAGAATCTAGAATTAGGAATGAAGAATGAATGCCAGCGAGTCACTGAACCGCCGCCATTATTATCAGCAGCCGTAAAAGCGTAAAATAAATTCGCACAAGAAATACCTACATAAATGAATTAAACTAGTAACAACCGAAGTAATAATACACTTAATTACGATTAGAAACGTTGGGTTAGGTTAGGTTGCAAATGCTGTCGGTGATGGTGGCGATGGCCGCGAGTGCAGTTGAACGACCAACGACCATCTTGAGACGGTGATAATGAGGAGAGCGAGAGAGAGTGTGACGTTACTTACGGTCGCGAAACCGTAAAACGCGTAATTCCACACACATTCGCAGTGTGCAACGCGCAGAATGCCCGCGTGAGTGAAAGAAATTTCTCGTGCGAAGGTCAATGTAACATAAACAACGCAAAACATTAAATTCAATCATCAAATCAAAATATAATTTTGACAAAAGTGTCAAAAAAAATTGACAGATGTCAAAATTTTAGTATTAAAACTGTCAAAAACGTAATAGTTAGGTTAGGTTAATTTTTCTGTGTTAGTTTTCACTTTTTTTGCTTTCTTGTGGTTTGTTGACTTCTATTACAATTGCGAGTAAAAGCAAGATTTTACTTTCGGATCAATTGACGCGCACGCAATTATGAGTGCGCAGTTGCACTTGCACGCGCAATTTGATAAAAAATTGCAAGTACAATTGCATGCGCATCGGCGATTAGCGCGATATGAAAGTAAACGTGCAATTAAAAGCGTAATAACACGATAAGTAAACAAATATGTAAAGCACAAGTAATGTCCAAACAACATTATTAACATTAATAACACGTTAATAACTTAATGATGAAAGCCATGTTTTTTTAACTTTTTATTTCATTTATAATGTATAATACCTACCTATTTCTAATAACAATAATAATTTCTACGATGATATTGTGCCAGTGCACTCACATTTATTACCATACTTTCACTGTTCCAGTGACTGGCTTAAGTCTCTTGACTCGAGAGTAAAAGTTCACTTAACTTGCATCTTGATGTGGATTTCATTTGTTTGAAATCTAACACAACAAAAAATTTGAGCGTTTGAAATCTAAAAACTACTCGAAAGTAAATTTTGATGATGTGAACCAAAAAATGCGAAATAAAAGTGAAGTGAATAATGAAAACGAAAAGTGCGCAGTCAAAGTAGACCAAAAGTGATGCGAAGCCATTTGAAATGACTAAATGTTGTTAGTTGTTAAAAGCAATAGTAAACCAGATTCCGGTGCTTTCTCCACTTGAAATTTTACAATAATAATAGAATAACATACAACAGAAATTATGAATCCTGTCAAAAACAAGTTTAATCAATACTCCTGCTATTCCTATGCACTCTTGGTGAAAGTTGTGCAACTCATTGTCTCCCTACGCTATAATAAAAAGGCCCTACGCTTATAGATCTAGGCCTAGAAGTATAGTGTACAGGTCCCTCTGACTCGGTGCCCTCTGGTGCATGGCAGTAATGCACTATGAATCATCCCACACCCTAATTTTAGGGCACATGCAGCCTGCAACACTTTTAATTTCGACCCAGGCCTTGAAATTACCTCTTTAATCGAACGGTCCACCCCCTTGTTTAATTTTTTTCTGTTATCTGTTTTGTTTTTCCAACTAAATATTAAACATGTGCCTGTGGACCTCTTTGCATTCCGGCATGATTAAAAATTCAAACGCAAAAAACAAAATAAATTACTCTTGTGTTGTTTGTGCCCTGACCTGGGATCAGATCATGACATTCACGACATTCAAAACATCCTACTCGCGATTTCTCCAACGCTTGGCATTTGTTCAATGAGCATTGGAAATTAGAAAATAGAAAACCGGCAAATTATTCTTTGCTTTTTTTGTTGCGAATGTTTAAATATTACATACGTACGTACCTGAAAGTGATTCGTTACTGTTCTTGAATTCTTGGCACCTTCATAAAAAACAGCGTTTATTTTAACTCAACATTCAAACAAGTATTAAGCAGCTATTTTTGTGCATTGCGCATACTCACACCGTGCAGGTTTCATTTTTTTTTTTGGCACAAGCAATATATGGGTTAGTAGTGTGTTCCGTTTCGCTTTTTGCATAAAGCAGATATTCAAAATGGCCGCTGGACCACTTCACACTTTGTTTATACAAATTTAGTTCAAGATCCAGACCTTGAACCACTACCACAATAAAGTAAACAGAACAAGTTAAAAAATCTCTGGATTATATCTAGTAACACATGTGAATTGAAATTTAAAGGTTATGTTTACCAGTTATAACCTTATGAATGTGTTCGGGTTGTGTCGGGGATGTGCGTCAATGTTCGTCGCGCCGAAGTAGAGAGCAATAAACGTGGCGTGGCTCGCGGTTCCCGCGGCACGGGGAATCGATAAGCGTGCTCGCTCGCGCTGCTCGGCCGAGGCTAACGCACTTGCGGCGCTCGCGGCGCGCCGCGCTCGAAACGGGTTCACTCGCCGCTTTCAAGGACAAGGCCAGTGCGAGCGCGCGGGCTCGCGCGCGCTTACAGCACAGGGGTTGTTCGGACGCCGCGCGTCGGGGTTGTTGCACGAAACAACCTTCAAATGACACACACATCGCATACAATCACTTTCTATGCGAAAACTGATCACGAAAGCAACACGGCGGCCATTTGTTGATCGGTTGCTATGACAACCAAAGGATTTATTCTAGAATGTTCTAAAACATAGCAATACCTAAGCTATATAATAAAATATTGAATTTATTTTAATTATTTGTTGTAGATTTCTAATTTTTGGACTAAATTTTTGTATGTGTTGTGTGTGGGTGGGTTGATGGGTTGTTGGGTTGTATTGTATTGGGAGAGTGAAACCGTTTTCACTTTCAGAGAGTCGCGGAGCGCGGATGCACCGAACGGCAGCGCGGCGCGCATCCCTCCCGCGTGCATCGGCGCAGCGAGTTTTTCCCCGTCTTCGTCACACGCAATACCACCGCGGTATTGGTACGACGAGGACAGCCGCAAGCCGCCGACGTCCTTAACACCGGCGAGCCGCGCCGCTATCACACAATCCCACATTCGACATTCGACGCGCTCGTTCCGACGAGAGCGAACGTCTCGCGGCCGCCGCTCACCGGGAGAGAGAGTTAACTGTTACACGCCGCGGCGACGACACCGCGGGCGCATTCGACGATCACTCTTACTTTCGTCAACAGCTAATGAAACAAAAGTTGTTCATCATCACATCACAACCAGCCGCGTTGAAAATAAATAAAACAAAGTTATCTTCACTACAACTACACTGCGATTGGTTTTAAACTAAACTATTTTTGTTGTTAGTGTTTATATAGTGTTTGTTTAATATTGATTGTTTTGGTGCATCGTGTGTGACACATGTTGCAATGCAATCGTGTGCGGCGATCGTGTTCAAGAGTGACTTGAAGGAGTTCCGCATCCCGACGAACGGCGGCGTCGTCTCGTCGTCGACGGCTGCGGCAGCATCGCCGTCCCCGAACGTTGTGAACAACCTAAAAAAACAACCATCGCACACTGGTGTGATTTCACTAGCCGCGCCAATTACGCATTCGAACGGTTTGCTTGCAACGATGCGCCCGCCGCCTCCGCCGCCGCCTCCCAAACCCAAGGACAATAAGCACGCGCACGCGATGATGATACAACATGTGCAGCATCAATCTCATCAGGGTGGCGGACCTCATGAAGAGCCATCTAGTTCTATTCCTGATTTAGGTATGTTTATCTTTATCTTGGCAATTTTTGCGAAAATTAACCTTGAATTTCTTATTTGTACGTGTAATGTGTATATTTGTGTGTGTTGTTAACAAACCTGACCCTGACAATTATTTTTATCAGTGAGAGTCGTTGGAGATTTGCGTTTCGGGAGCGTTTTTGCGTTCGATTGCGTCGCGTTTCGAGTATTTCGGCCTTGCGGAGCGTTATCAGCGCGTCCTTAGCGGTCGCGTTGTCATCTCACGACGTTGCGAATCAGGGTTACTCGGTAATCTGATTCCGGTTTTGCTAAAACACGAATTTGCAAACGTTTTCATACAAAAAAAGTTAATTAACAACAATTATGTAAATATAAATTTAAATTCTATATCAAAATTAAGATTTGAAAGTCAAAAGATCAAGATGGTCATCGAAAAAGTTAATTTTAAATGATTACCACCCACGTAAAAGTGAAATATGTTAAAAAAAGTCACGTTCAAGGTTGTTTTTTGATCATTATTTATCGTAAATATAGCGCATCGACATGTTTAGACTCGATTTTCTTTATTAACTTTCGAAATAAAATTTGCACTATATGTTTGAGTTGATTTTTGTTGCCATCAATTATTCGCAATGTATAGTTTTATTTTTAATACGCGGATTGTCAAGGTGACAAGCATCGGGGGCCAAAACCTTGAGGCTCGCCTTGACGCGGTCGAATCTCGCAGGTTTTATTTTTCATTTCGTTTGGTATGTGCGCAAGTTCATATTTTACTATACCTACCGATACAAGGAAATTCAAAATAGGAAGTTAACTTAATGCGATAATTGAAATTTTACACATTTAATACTTTCTTTTTAACACCATTTTTGTTTCTAATAGTAAAATAATTCTCAG